GCACCCTTTTTTTGCAAGCTGCTGATGGCCTTCCTTGTGCAACGGGTGGTCACTCCTTTCTGTCACGACCATGCAGATGGGAGCACCTCTTTGTTATAGTGATCCAGTCCCTGTTCCCATGACTGCTCACAAAAAAGTATACAAATAACTCTTTGACTAGCCCCCAGGTTCACACAATTCTAGTGAGTGCTCCAACCAATCACATAGAGCAAGCACGTCAAACTCACAGGCCAAATCTGGATCATGGGGCTTCTTGTGGGCTGGATCTCAACTGTGAGCCATGTGACTCAAGAATGCAGAGGATTAACAGAGCTGACATGCCCCCTCCCCACCTACCCCTAATCTTTAACCCTACCACTGATTGCTGATTATCCTGACTAATGGCACCAAATGGCATTTAACATCCCCACCCTCGGTTCTGGAGCCATGTGCACACGGCAGCTCCAGCAACACATCCTATGCACCTGATGGACCCACTTTGCTGGCCAGATCTAGCCCATGAGCTGTACATTTGACCCTCCTGGCTTAGGGAATCTTGCTCACTCTTTCCCCTCCCTTTGCTAATGAAACATTAAATATTCATGCAAAGTGGAACAGCTACCATAGGTAGGGAAGAGAGCATGCACTGGATCTATGGGTATGGGTTTGAATCCCTTCAGGGCAGAGAAAAGAAAACAGCAAACCTGGATCTCACATCCTGGGTAACTTTTCTTACCTTTAGACCAGGGGTGCTCAACCCTCAGCCCACAGAGCCATGTCCTCTGGCCCACCAGGCTCATCACAGATCTGAAGATTTGGCAGGAGGAGGGGGAGCGACTGTGTTAATTGTTGCTTTCCTGCTGTGAAATTTGCGGGCTGACAAGGAGCCCCACAGGCAGGACAGCAAGGCCCTGCAAAGCTTTATTATGCAGGGCAGGGCAGGGCCAGACAGGGTAGGATCTAGACAGCATGAGGTGGATCTAGGCAATGCAAGGCTGGATCTAGATGCACAGAGCCCAATCTGGGCCACAACCCTGAAGATCTAGCTCATGAACCAGCCCCACGCCATTCATCTGACCCATGGAGGCTAAAAGGCTGAGCACTACTGCTCTAGGTTAATGTGTAAGGGAGGACAGGAGTGCCACTTCCCTCTCTTCTAGTCACATTGCAGGGGACTGCAACTGTGTTCCTGTAGGGTAAGCAGTCCAATTCAGTACACATGTGCTATGCATGTCCCAGAGCATAATTACTGGATCAGACCACAGAAAGGACATAGGCAGGGAAATGCCTAGTAAGTGGATCCCAGCGTAGCTTATGCATGAGGTGCGCTAAGCCACTCAATGCTGACAAGGTTTAGATGCTTCTGGGTATGTAGAGAAGCAGAATGTTAGATCCCAATGCCACTCTAATTGTGAAAACTTGGGTACCCACAGTATCAGATGAGGGGAGGGGGGAGAGTTTGAAATCTAATTCCCTTAAGTCTAATTTCCACACTTAAGTACTTTTGTCTAATCCTAAAACACACATGCTCAGTATCTCACAGAAAATCTGTTTCCAGCTGTTACAGTTCTTCCACTTTCTTTATTGGGATCCTGTCTCTCAAATATAGCATTTTTTCTCACAAAGAACAGGCATATTTTATTGGGGGACAGGGTGTGCAAGTGGGGATACTAGTTTTCTACCCTGGATAAATGCACCTTGCTTTGGTTCCTGCCCCACAGTGCAACACCTCTCACATTATTCAGGCAGCTCAGCAAGCCATTTAATGGCTCACTGTTCTTCACTTCACAGCTTAATGATCCTCTCTCCTTTTTGTCTTGATGTTCCACTAATCAAGGTAGCCTTTCTTAATTTTGCTGTCTGGTTGCTGCTTCTAGTCTCTTTCCTCCTATTTCAGAGCCCTGGAGACACTACCTCTTTTCAAAATCATAGATCTACCCATGGAGACCAGTCTTTAGAAACAGCTAGGGTTTGAGCTTTAGTTAAGCAAGAAAAGGTGGGCATATTAATGAAAGATTAGGCTTCAGCCATAACTCCAGAAAAATCTTTTTTCTTCATTTTGCCTTTCAAAAACAAGGTATATATTGTATTCCAGGGTGTACTGTACATGATAAAATATGGTATCTTCCTTCATGTTATATTTCTGTAAACTATTGTGCAAAACACTTATACTGTATTAAAATACAGCCCGACTGGAATTGGTGGATAGAAGGGGAGTTTTGAATTCTTTACCTATTTATTTATACAAGATACTTTTCTTGCTATTAAAACCACAGCCCTTTCTTTGAACTACACACATACACACACACACTCTATGGACATACTCCTTTGTGAAGCCCATTTAGTGCCAGACAGATGGATGCTTAGTACTAAATGGGCTTCACAGAGGAGTATGTCCATAATCAAGTCTGCCAAAGTATTAGAAGTCACTTAAGCTATGTTTTAAAACTGTATATGGGTACATGCTGTAAATCATTTCACTACAGTTTGAAAGTTCATAGTTCTCTGGAGATAAACTACAGGAGCATATTTTCAGAGCATATGATTTTAATTACAGCTAAGGGCTGGTGTCTCATGATCAGAAAACCTTGCTATGAAACTCAGCATTCCTGAAAACTTAATAAATGCAGTGAAATCCAAGACAGGATTACACGGGACCAGGAGAAATTTCAAGTTTAGACAGGTTTCTTTCTTATAGGAGGAAGCTTTCCAGGTAGGAAAGTATGTCAGGACCATAGAAATTTCCCCGATTGAGCTAGTTTGCAGTTTACACAGGTTTCACTGCATTTTTAATTTTTTTTTAAGAAGTTAAGAGATATAAAATGTAAATTTCCCAAGCAACACTAAATCCCAATGCACATGCAATATTTTCTATTCTTCCTTATATTGTTAATATACCTGAGTAACCCAGTTATGTTCTGCTATGCAGCCCAATAAGATGGTACCTTATTACCAGTGTTTTACCAGTACATTCATGAAACAAAGATAATACAAACTATTACACAGAGAAAACAAACACTTCATCAGACAGAAATATACTGCAGTTCATTTAACATATACCAGCAAATGAAGATGTTTTTCTTTCTACCAGCAACTAATTACTACTTTGAACCAATATTTTTCCCTATTGGAATTTTTAAAAATGCACCTGTTTCCTTGTGCTTATGGACTTATGACCTGAAAAGTTGCTCTCCTGAGCAAGCAGGCAGTGGCAGCTTATCTGGCAAGCTACTTCTTTCAAGGTGTAGCAACAGTCCCCCCCACCCCCACCACCACAAAGGAAATACTGAAGGAACCAATTCTTTTGATGAAAGAGATGGAAGGTGCTGCAAAAGTTAGCCGCTATTTTTCAAGAGTATCCTTACGTGGCAAGAACGATGAAAGTCTAGACCAGAGGTGCTTAAACCCTGGCCCATGACCCAGATCCATCCCTCAGTACCTTGCCATCCAGCCTGTAGGGCTCCCTATGGGTCCATTAGAAGCCAATGGACCATGGCTCTGTGCATTAGGTAGGGTGTACAGGGCAATGTGGGGTGCAATCCCAGCATGCATGGCTGGATGGAGGTGGCATGAGACACCGAGAGCCTAATTCTGGTGCATGAAGTCCAGCTGAGGCAATGCAGGTCTCTGATCGCAGCATATAGGGCCAGGCAAGAATAGTTTGGGACCCCCAGAACCCACACACGAAGCCAGGAAGAGGCAGCATTGGGTCCCAGATTGCTCAATCTCTGCATGTGGGACCAGAGAGCAGTAGTGCAGTGCCCAATCCCAGTGCACAGAGCCTGGCAGAGGTGGACTGGGGTCCCAAAGTGTGTGACGCCAAATGGAAGCAGCATGGGGTCCCAGGGCCCTGATTCTGGCATGCAGGGCCAGGCAGGGGGTGGTGTAGTCCAGATCTAGGCATACAGGTCCAATCCTGATGTACAGGGTCCCATCTGGCCCATGGCCAGGCCCCCTGCCACATTCAGCCCCCAGGGCCAAAAGGTTGTGAGCACCAGTGCTCTAGATCAGTGGTGCTCAACCTTTTTATACTGGAGACATCCTCGGGGACTCGAGGCACCCCACAGAAAATGCCAGCTCTTAGTTTTCGCTTTTTGACTATGGAATAGAACAATTTTGTTGGGGCAAATAACTCAAAAATACCACAACAGGACAGAATGTTTTTAACACTGTGCATTCCTATTTGAAGTCTCAGAGTTTATCATGTGAATCATGTTTGCATACTGAAAAGTGCTAACATTTTGGGACACCCTGCAGCACCCTTGAAAGGATCTCAAGGCAACCCAGGGTGCTGCATCACCCTAGTTAAGAGTCCCTGTTTTAAACTAATGCCTTCTATGGAACAAACAACATACTAAAGGAGCAGACAACAACATAGATCTAATTTAGCTTCAACCATGAATCACATTTTTAAGATTCCAGGGCTTTTCTGAACTTCCTTACATAAACACAAAAAAAACCAAACCACCACCAAAAACTCTACTCTATACAGTCATACATGTAAGAGTTGTGAGCTTTCCTAAACCAAATTACTTTCTATTGTGATGGCATGCGTATTATACACACATATACATTATATATGTGTATGTATGTCATCAAAATTTAAGTTATTTGCAAACAGAAATAACATATGTTTTGTTTTTTGTTTTTCTTTTGGTTTGGTTTTATGCATCTTTTGAACCCAAACCATTAAACATCCATATCATGTGCTCATGCACTAGATGTTAAATTTTGCACACACACAAATTGTTTTTATGCTGTTATTCTGTTGGGGGGTTTTAATAACAACCTGCACACAGCTAAACAAAGTTAAAAAGTTGGTTTATTTGAAACTGTGAAATAAAAGTCCAAAGAGATAAAATGCTTAACAATGTCAATGGACAGCATACAAGAAAACTTGAGTTAAGCCAGTCTGCTTCCTCCACCCCTCTACTAAGGTGGAACTATAATACCACTTCTTGGCTTTCCCTGCTCCAAGACTCATTATATAAAAACTATCTTAAACAACTTCACATAAGGAGTTTTTTTGTTTTTTGTAGATTTGTACCACTAAATTCCTCCCTAAAAAAACTCCATTGACTTTAAGAGAGTTGCAACAGAAATGAATCTGACCCATAATATATATCTTTTGCCTATTGGCTTTACTTTTCAAGTTGACATTTTTATGGAACAGATTCTCTCTTCCCAGATCTCCCTACTAAATTGGTTCAAAAACTAAACTTAGCCAAATCACAGTTCATATTAGTTTTTAGAGGCTCTTATTGGGACATTATTCTTAGCATACCAATGAGAAAAAAAGTAAAATGTCTTATTTATCTATCTTCACCCTCTGTCATCCCAAATGAGTATGGTGTTATGCAGAATTTCAGTTCAATGTTTGCACAAAACGTTTGTTTTGCCAGATGGTAGATTCCAAATTAGTGTTTTAAAATGAATAAAAAGTTACCGGAATTCTAAATCTATGAGAGCATTTAAAAAAATTTTCAGGTAAGAAAATATTAAGATTGTATCCAAAATATGCTTTAAATAGTTAGTGGAAACTCAAATGGGCAACCAGCATGCTTTTTCTTTGATTGTTTCAAAACCTCAAGCCTTGTTAGATAACTCCATAAAAATAGCCAAAGTTACAATTAAAACACAATTAAAGAAATAGGCTTGAAAAGAAAACCTGTTGGCTAGGAAAAGATTGACTTTCATCATGTAAATCAATTGCACAAAAATTGTTAGTGGTGAAGTCTTAATTCTTATATATTAGTTTTGGCCAGATCAGGATGACACCTTCCAAAGAAAATCACTAGAATGCCACAAAACCAACAACAGAAATTATTTAAGAAACATAGTAAACAGTTCAGCTTAGTGGTATCCTACTGATTTTGGAATCTGTCATTTTGACCTGACCAAAACTAAATTTATTCAAAGAGCAAGTACAGTAGGGCAACAATAATGAGGAACTACAGATCACGGATCTAATTTATTTTAAGAATATTTCATTTTCCATATCCCTCTTAGTTCTTTGACTGGTAATCACTGAGGTAGTCTTTGCAATGAGATGCACATTCACTAGAAATCACTAGATCTACTGGTTTCACATCACTGAATTATCTTTAGTAGTAAGTTGCAGTGACTCTTGTCCCCGATAGGACCAATTTAAGTCACTGAAGTCAACAGGAACCTACAGACTTCATCAACGACATGGGACTGAAAGGCCCCATATCACTGATTCATCCAATCCAGCTTTTGGCTAGTTTTAGCTTCAATTCCAAAAAGAAATGGAGTCTGCTCTTTGAACTCATTTTCTCTTTTGTAATTAGAAGGGACAACGTCCACTCACCACATTATCCATCACCTGTTAAAAGCCAGCAGGTTTTCATTGGCTACAGTGACTCAAGATTGGGCTATGGAAGAAGTTATGTAAGTGAGCCTAAAAATGTCTCACTGTGCCAAGATATTTTAATATATTTTTACAACAGGTATTCTCTACAGCTCCTTCACTTCTTGACATAAGAAAGCAGCCAGATGCTGGTCAACAGGATTTGAAATTTCATGTACAGAATTTGACTAGAGATTTTCCAACATAAGCAAAAACTAACAGTAAAAATGCCTACCAGTTAGAGTTTAGCATTTTGGAAGGAGGCAGGAGGAGAAATTACAACCTAAATCAGTCAATTTCCAGTAGATTAAAAAGTCAATACTTCCCTTCCCCAAAAACACTGCTGCTGGTTAGATATTGTATATTACTGAATCTGTAATTAATAAAGGTACTTTTGTTTTAAGGAGGATAAAGAAGAAAAGATCTGCCATACAATGTGGTCTTAACAATGTCTCTAGGATTGTGGGAATCTGTTTTTTTCTTGGCAGGAGAAGCATTAATGGCACAATCATGTTCTTTAGTGGACAAAAGGAAAAATGAGTTTAAATAAATTTAAATCAAACACCATTGGCAAAATTTTTATCTACTGTCTCTCGATATTTTAACCAACATTATGAACTTTATTTTTTTTTTTTTTTTTAGAAAAAAGGCTGACATTGTTGGGGAGAAAGGGGGGAAGAAGGGAGGGGAGAAGTTTAACAAAAAGAGACATTTTACATGGCGGCATAAAAATCAAAAAACGGAGGAAAACAGAAAACAAAACACCCCCCCACACACTACTCCACAAGAAAGTAAACAGCTAAAACAAGTTTCCAGAACAATGAATCTGAAGGATGCACCTTCTTCAGATACAAGATCATTGCTGCCTTGTTCAAGAACAGTCACAATTGAGTGTGGTTTTGTGTACTACTGTAACCCTTCAATGGGTCAGTTTGTAAGTTAAAAGAAATAAACCAATGCAATAAATTTCCGAACTAAGAAGGATGCAGTTACCGATTGCTTTATACTGGTGTTTTAAAACACTTTTTACATACCTTTTGTTTCAGGTTTTAAACTCAAACTGTGCTTTACATTTTTAAGTTCAGACATACTGAAACCTAGCAGCACAGATGGTTTGCGATTTTTTATCGCCTTTAGGCACATATATCGTCTTTTCCCAAAAAAGGATGCAACATCAACTTTCCATGCACCCAGTTCCAAAGACAGTAATTCCAGCTCCTTTTTAGATGGGTAGGGCCTCCTGTGAAAATAATCTTTCAGAAACTGCTTTTGACCTTCATGAGACTTGTGTTCATGCTGTTTAGGATCTAATGCTAGAATATGGAGGTCCTCACTTGAAGGAGGCCCTTTTATTTCTACCCTGCTTTCAGTTTTTTGTCGTTTGCAAGGCACTCCCCCTTGATTCCCTTCCTTTTCTGGAACTAGAGCTGTAATGGCATTTAACATCTGTGGCTGCTGTTCTTTGTTCCTTTGGTCCTCTATAACAGAGCAGAGATCAGATTGCTTTCTCTTAGCAGGTAAGGTCACAGGATCTTGCCTTTCACCATTGACCAACATCAAGTCTTTCTTTTCAGAACGCTCGAGCTGCATCTTCATGTCTGAGTTGCTATCTTTTGGAGCACTTCTGCAGCGGAGCAAATGCACAGCAATTGCTGTCAGAGTCATGTTTCCAGTGTATACCCCGCAGCAGTGGATACACTTGAAAGCAGGTGACTTTAAAATTGTGTGCACAGTTGGCATTATATGGTGCCTCTCTTTCAAATGCAGTTCATAGGCTTCTTTGTCAACGAAAGTACCGAAACAAAAGGGGCATGTCAATACTTTTTTGCTGACCCTAGTATTCATTTCAGTGGTTTGAGGCTTCACCTTGATGTAAACAGGTACAAGTGTCCTCGAGTTTACTCCAACAAGCACTGCCAAATGGACTTCCTTTTCACCAAGTTCTTCTTTTGGCAATACTGTACTAAAATCAAAATGTGGAATTATTAGCTCCCCCTCAGCATCGTTATCTATTTGGAACCCTCTGTTGCTGTAATCTGCATGCAATTTCTTTTTCCCATTGTGCACGGACCTATTGTGTTCAACAAGACTTTTTAGATTGTGGAAAGTAAACGTACAAAACAAGCAAGCTAAACCATGCATGAGTAGATGTTTCAAAAGCTCTTCTTCACACAGGAAACATTTACAAGAAAAACAGCGGACAGTCTTCTCTTTCATCCACCGGAGAAAGGGTGCACATGCTGCAAGTTTTTCTGGATCAACAGTTTCCTCAGTTTTTACCACCTTGTGCTTATGAGCCACTTCCATGTGCACCTGGTAGACGTTTGATGGGAAAAGTTCATTGCAAACTGGGCACGTTTTCCACTGCTTTGCCTGCTTAACAGCTTGGCTCATTTCAGGGCCAGGAGAAGAAGCCGGCACAGACATATTCTGGGAAGAAGTCACTACTACAGGAGGAGAAGGTGCACTGGCTGGAGAGTGAGAGAGCTGGGTTACTGCCCCAGACTGCATTAACTGAATAGGCATTTGTGGAGGTGTAACAGTTGCTACTCCACCACCAGCTGGAACAGGCAAAGTAACTGAAACCGGAGCAAGGGTGTACGTTGGGATCCCATTTACCTGCTTGCCTGTTGGAATCAATTGTCTCAGTATAGGCCCAGTAGTCAGGAAAGCAGTGTTTTGAGAAACGCTAGGCCGGACTGGTTGATTTACAGGGAGAATCCCTGAGTTTGAAGGCTGATTAAGCTGGAGAATTCCAGGTCTGACAGGTTGTCTAACAGGAACCACAGCTGGTGCAACAGGCTGATTAAGTTGAAGAACCCCTGGCGTGACAGTCTGGGTCATCGGCAGAACCCCAGGACCTACAGGTCGATTCACATTCCCAACTGGCTGATTCATAGGAAGAAGCGCCGGTGCAACAGGTCTATTTACTGGGAGAACCCCTGGTGCAACAGGTCTATTTACTGGGAGAACCCCCGGTACAACAGGTCTGGTTATAGGACCCACGGGCTGAGTTATGGGAAGTGCCCCAGATACAACTGAACTATTTATTGTAGCAATGGGCTGATTAACAGGAAAAAGCCCAGGCCTGATGGGTTCATTGAGAGGAAGAACTGCTGCACCAACAGGTCTATTTACGGTCCCAACAGGTTTATTAAAGGGGATAACCCCTGGCCTGACAGGTTGATTGAGGGGAACCCTATGGGAAACAAAGACAGGCTGTGGAACTGAAGGTTGAATATTAACACTATTCTGACCTACTGGAAGAGGACTGGATACAAGCGTAACATGTGGTGGAGTAACACCTGGAGCAGAAATGGTATGTGTAATGCTACCCGAGGCACTTGAAACAGGCAGTGGTCTGACTGCATTTGGAACTGCTTTTGCTGGTATGACAGCTTGGCTTTGATTATTCCGTGGAAATGCAAGCTGAATACAAGCTGGAGAAGTAACTGAGCCAGCTGGTACAGTGGAGGGAACTAAGGATGGAGCAGATATAGTTGTGGGAGGCTTAGGAGCAATATGCATTTGCTTCACAAGACCTGGCTTCTTAATATGTTCCGAAATCACTGATCGAAGTTTATTCTCCAGATCTCTGTGTGTTTCAGATGTCAAGACATGATACATTAAAGAATCTTGGCTGTTTGCTGAGGCATTGCACTTTTTGCAGTAGTATTCAACAAAATTCTCAACAAAATTCTCATCACCTTCATCAGGTTTCAGGCCAAAATAGGTGCTTATTAAGTTCTGAAAGTGGTTCATTAACACATGTTTCTTCATATTGTAATATAATGTATCTGTAAAGTGACATTTTAGACATGTAAAGTTTATAATGTCACTCCTGAATTGTTTCATGCCACCTAAAATGCTCACTGTATAGTTCTGTATTTTCTTAGAAGAAGAATGGAACATTCTGAGGTGTTTTCCCACTACTTTGTGATCAGAAACAAATGCACATTTTGGGCAAGGAACCACCAACTCTTGGTCCATTTCATCATCATGGTAACGGTGCAAATGATTCTTGAATGAAGTAAGCAATTTTGATGAAAACTTGCATAGGCTACAGCAGTAAGGCTTTGTCCTGTACCTCTGCAAACAAAACAAAACAAAACAAAACAAAAAAGTGTTCACACAGTACTGTATCATTTTCAAATGAAATGGGATATTAGAACCTGGCAGTTTCTATCAAGTGTCAAAATGCCTGCACCATGTGGAACATAAGCCTCTGTGAAACTGTCAGCCATATCCAAAAAATAAACATAGTGGTGGAATGCATGGCAGAAAACAGTCAATGGACTCTGGCTCCTTTAAATTTCTTTATACAAGGTCTAACAAGGCTCAACTCAGTTCTCCATTCCTAGGTCAAATAAATAATAAGAACTCCAGTCTCCTAAGAATTTGGCCACAGAACAAGGCAACAGAATTAGGACACAGGAGTTGAATCTTGAGTAATCAAGAGTGGAAGCAATTTTTATTTAGACTATGTAAAGCTCTGCCTGTTTGAATTAGATGTCAACCTAAGTCAACCCACACACATTTGGGGAAAATAAAATAAAAGAGCTGTTTATTTTTGGCAAAACTTTAACATTTTGTCCTTCACCAAAAGGACATCGGAGAAATACGGATTCTTCACCAATTTCAGCAAGCAATTCTAGACAAGATTAGACAACCTAATCTTGGCCTCCTCCTATTTTTCTCTTGGTGTTCCAAAAGTATGTAAAGACCTTTCTTCATAAGAAAGGAACAAAATATACTAAACAATGGACTTCCCTATAGAGTATATCCTTTTACATTAATGTTTTACATCTCTAAACAATTTTGCTCTACCATATTCTTTACAAATACACATATTTAAAACTGAAGAGCTTTCTAGCACTGTCCTCAAATTTAACAAATACTTATTTAAAATAGTGTTCTCCAGATGCTTCCACTGTAAAGTGTTACATTTTTATTCTGAATTTTCACTCAACATTTTAGGTTGCTCTTTATTCTCAGGTGGAAAAAATCCTGCTCATCTCTGGTAACCACTTCGGTCACCTATTTCCATTTTTCTAAGGTTTTGGTACAGAGACTCATCTAAATGCTACTGTAATGTATAAGAAAAAGCATCCCTTATTTCTCAAAGCACTATTCTGTTCCATGTGAGAACGCTTCTTAATACTTACTGTCGTCTACTTCCTCTGACTGAACTTTTCTCTCTCTCTCTCTCTGAATCCGAGTAAGGGAAAACAACTACAAAAGTGACAGTTTTGCTCTTCTCTGGTTTGGCTTTTGCCATCGCACCCAAAGTCACTTGTTATGGTTTAGAGTGTCCACTAGGAAGGACTGATGAATTCCTACAGTTCCCTTCACTCAAATTCACGGCACGAAACAATTACAATCAGCTCTCCTGGCACAGCCAGTCCACTTAATTGGTAGAAACAGACATTATTCCTCCTGTAGGGTAAGGCCCTACGCCTCCCAGGCAGGGCAACACTTGGGGCATACCTGTAGCAAACAAGCGAACCCCAGATTTCTCTGCTTACAGAGGCATGCCCCAAGTCAGAAGTCCCGGGTATGCCTCTGCAAACAGGGAAACCCAGGCAGACTCTCCCAAGGCTTCAGAGTCTGACCCTATGTGCTCTCAGAATTCCTCCACAAGGCCGTAGGTTCAGCTGAAGAACACTCCAGGCTGCCTGCATGCACTCTCCAACCTTAAAACAAGCAGACATCTGCCACGAAACAGCAGCACAAATCAAGACTACCTTTTTTTATGGCCACAAATATGGGCGTTTGGAGTCTGATAAAGGGAACAGATGTCTGTTTGCGTCTGCTTTGTGCCATCATAAGAATTCTTACGGAGGCGCAAAGGCGACGTCTGTTCACAGCCAAAGAGTACCAACATCTTTAATTTCCTATTTCTGAGGTGGTCAAGTCACTGTGTGTGGCCAGAGTGGACTTGAAGCACAAGGTGACATTTCTCAGGTCTCATCCTTGTGTATCTATGATATTTTTTGCTATTCCTCCCATGATGGAGCCAAAAAGATCAGAAGTCAATTCTGTTTCTTTTTTGGTTTTCTGTCTCCAGGAATTAATTTCAGTCAACCCAACATTTCTGGCAAGTACACGAAGAATTCTTCACAACAGTGAGTGGTCCAGTCATTAAACTAGACAGTTACTATTCAGATTTTAAAAGATGGAATAGTGAGCTTCTTTCACTGCAATGGAATATTCTGATAAGAAACTTCTTACTCTCTCTCTGAGCATGTGTTTCTCTGCAGAATTAGGATAAAACTGTCAGAACTCATAATAAATCAATTACGCACTTTAAATGCTACCAAATTTTAATCACTCCTTCCCTCTAATCCACCATAAATAATTTATTTTTGGTAGTTTAAGAGATGTGTATTCTATTACTTGATTAACTCCTCTCCAGAACCAACCTCTTTTCCAACTTGGGTAATTTGGCTAAACACAAAAGGTGGTACAAACTCTACTGTCCCTCATACTTTTCACCCATGGCTCAAATGATCATTTGTAAACTCAAATGGTAACAAGCTCCAAGAAGATTCAAATCTAAAACGTGTAACATTATGATACTGTATCACTTAACAGTGTACCCAGAGTCTGAAAAAGCAGGATCATTTGGAAGAATGCAAATTAGTCCCAATCAAAAGGAAGAGTTCCAAAACAGCAATTGTCTATTTTTCTGTGACCTTCCCCATATTATATATGAAACATGGCATTAGAGAGAAAAAAACAAAGCAAGGGGAAAGTAAACAGAAAGTGGATCCATCTTCCCTAAAACTGATGTCATTTTAAAGCCAAACCAATTAAAATTAGGGTTAATCATCTGAAACAAAACTTCCATATTTTCTTCCATACAACACTCCTTCGAATATAACATGCATCTTGTTCTTGAAAGGCAGAATGAAGGGAAAAAAAAAAAAGAGTTTTCTACAATTGGGAATACATACAGCAGGGACAGAGCCTAATTTTCAGCTGACTCACCCTCCCTTTCACGGTCAGCTAAAAGCTTAAAATCTGGCTGCTGCTGAAGACTGGTCTTCATGGGTAGATCCAGCATCTTGAAAATAACTAAAGGATCTCCACGACCGTGAAATAAGAGAAGAGACTAGGAACAGCTAGAAGACAGAAAAACTGTCCTAAGAAAGGCTGCTGTGATTAATGGAACATTAAGACTATTAAAAAGGAGACAAATCACTAACACCTGTGGAGTGAAGGAAAATGAACTATTAAAGTTAACGGACTCTCTCAGTTGCCTGAATAGCAAAAGCAACAGCAGCTGCAATGTGAAGCAGTAATCAAAGCAGGATGCTTCTATCCCAGGCAGAAAATTAGTTTCCCTACTTAATACATGCACCCCAGTTTTGGGGGGCTGATTCTGGGGGGAAAAAGTAAAAGTATGCAAGAAAATACAAGTAGTATGGCAACCTGTAGATTCTCCATCTCTTAGTCTTCAAATGGAGACTGAATGCCCCTCTGCAAGACAGAATTTCACCCAGTTGCATTTGGCTGAAGTGTAAAGGCTACGTCAAAGAGAGATAAAAGAAGGTCTAATGGTCCTTTCTGGATTTTAAAATTGCAAACCAACTTTGGAATCACTTCAGAAAGCCAAAGGATATTACAGGGGAAGGGGGAAGTACAGATCAACCACATTAACTTCAAGCCTTCTTAGATCAGCAACCAATCAGAATTTTCCATCAGATTTTATATTTGTGATCTTTTATGGGGTTCAACCAGATTAGGACCACATGTTATCATGCCTACAGTACAATCTGTATGGATTGTGGCTGGACATGAATGATGTAATGGACCTGACCAACCTCCCAATCCCATCAGTGTCTGTGGCTGTACTGCCCAATCAGACAACATGCTCTTACCTTATGCAAGCCCAGAACCCTCTAAACCAGACTTTCATTTCTACAAGAATGCTCAAAACCAGCCCTGACCACAGTCGCTGACCTCATTATGACAGGCTAACGTCCACAATCAGACCACGTAGGTACAAACTGAAGAGAGGTATCAGTTATACAGTCTTCCTGCTTCCACATGCATTGACTAGTAGACTAGTGCTAGTATTTCATTGTCCTGTGCATTTCTGATTGAAAGTTTCAAATGTGTAAAAGGAATCTTATTAAGAAAGCAATCCCTATTCCAGAACAAATGAACAAAGAATGTACAAATCACCATCCCTGCCACTGCCAGAGTACTGTGGAAACCAATTTCTTTACCATGCATCACAAAGACTAAGTCTCTTGTGTCCTCATCTCAGAATAGGATAATCCTCAGAAATGAGGATGGAACTCTCCTTTTTGATTGAGACATAGGAAGCATCTCAAGTTGCTGCTTTCACAGTCCTTAGAGTAGAGGCTCTCATGAGTTTATCAGCTGCAGATATCAAGTTCCTAGATTCTCTAAGCCTAGCTTTTATAATTAGCATTTTCACTGACCAACTTGAGAAGAGACCAAAAAAACCCAACAAAAACCCCAGTTTTGTACCAACAGTAGAACAGATGTGAGCTTGATGAAATAGAATGATTTTATTTCTGTAAATACTACAGACCAATTTGAATTTCACAAACTGTAAGAAAGACTGTATTTTCTATTGAATCACAATTAATACAGCTAGCAAACACCATGGTCAGAAACTTTTGACAGGTAACATTCCAAGGCAGCACAGCAACCTTTAAAACCAACCACAAAACAACTCACAGCCACATGTGAAGCACTCTGACAAGTCAACCTCTGTAGGGTGGGAGAACAGACTGATAGGCCCTCATCATGAAAGGGACCAGCCACTTTGAGTTGTGATCCACACCAAACACTTTCAACATCACCCAAATACCTGCATAAGTCCAAAAGCTTTTCCACAAGGTTGCCCTTTCCTCCAAGAACTATCCTCTATCTGCAGTTTTATAGCTTTTAACAGGACTTCTGATTTCATATCTCAACCCTGCATGATAAGACTTCTTGAGTTCTCACATGAAATGAAATTTTCTGAGCCTGTCTGATTATATACAATGAGTACAAGCCATTTCATTTCCACAGATAAACTCTGACAGTATACCTGAATGGCACAATTCAGTGTCATGCAGATGTACTTGAGATAACTCGGGTACAAGCAGCAATGTAGTTAATTTAATGCAGGACTCCAACATAACTGATTTGGCCTGCTGAGAAGTACAGTAGTACTTCTGTTGCTTCAATTAGTACAGCACTTCTGTTACTTCAATTAGTACTTCTGTTACTTCAATTAGTACAGCACTCTACCCAAGCTAACAAGGCTATATAGCACCCAAGCTATTTCTACTACATGCATAATGTTGAGTTGTTGGAATTAGGTACCTTCTCTCCCTAAGAGACGCTGTGGTAATCAGGAGTTTCTGAATCCCCGTTTCATCCTTTTGCAACAACCTTGCATTTGTCTATGGCAGGCTTGTCCAACATGTGGCCCACCAAGGCATTTTCTGAGGCCCAAGGTGCTGTGACGTGTTCCCACCCCTTGTCCCTCCCCCAGCCCCTCAGCAACTTCCTAATGGCTGGTGAAGGGCTGGGGGAGGGACAAGGTTCCCACACGCACTGTGCCAGCTTAACGTTGGCAACGCAGTGTGTGTAGGAGGAGGAGTAGCCATGTGCCTCTTGGGACAGGATGAGCCCGGCTGGAACAGCAGATGCTCAGCTGCACTTTCCCCCTACCTGCGCCAGTCAGTCCCGAGCGACACACGGCTCCGCCACTGCCTCTGCTGGCCAGTGCAAACCCAGCCTGAGCGGCAGGGGCTCACCTGCATTTTCCCCCTGCCTGCACTGGTCAGTCCCAAGCAGCACATGGCTCCGCCACCACTTCTGCTGGCTGATGCCGACCTGGCCGGCCTCCTCCAGTCCCCAGCAGCACATGGGAAACCAGCACGGGGGGGGCCTCGGCAGGCGGGATCCTGGCATGACCTCTGCGGGGCGTGGCAGCAGGAGCCGATGTCTGCCGGACACCGCGCAGCACTGAGGCCACTGGGGCTGTGTGCACAGGCTGCCAGGCACCACAGTGAGCGGGGCCATGTGGGTGGGCAGGTGAGGGGCTGTGGTACAGTGGCCGCCTCACTCCAGCCCCCCTCAGGCAGTGCCAGCTCGTGGGGCTGTGCTGCTCGGGGGATGAAGATGTGGAGCTATTTATTTCTCCCCTTCAGTCTCTGGGGAACTAGCTGGCTGGATGCAGAATGGGTCCCTCCTGCCCCTGCCCACCAGCAGCTACCATGAATCTTGCAGTAACAGGAAGATGCAGTAGGGCTACACAGGCAGGGTCTCTCTGGTCCAGGACAGAGGATGTTTGAATACGGCCCGCTGGCCCACTGGGTGATAAGAAGTTCATGATCTGGCCCCACATTCAAAAAGGTTGGACACCCCTGGTCTACAGAGACTGTCTCAGGCAAACATACATACCTTCCTTTTGCCAACAGACTCCCAAGGAGAGACATCACTCCATGAAGTGTTGCAAAAATATTTCTCTCCTGGATCAAAATGTTTAAGATTCTAAAAAGAGAAGGAGGGAAAAAAAAGGTTACATATATAATTTGTTTCAGAAATCAATTCTAAGTATAGAAATACATTTGATACAGCTGACTGAAAACTAATCAATTTGCAATATTATATCCACAAAAATTAATGCTGAATGTTTTAAACTTTTATTTGATCCTTATTAGTTTAATGTTCTCTCATAACCCTGTTGTATTGTTTGGTCCAAAATATTTTAAAAGAATGCTAAGTGTTCAGAACAATTTAAGTCCTTTTGCTTCGATACAAGTTCGGGAATATTCAACAAAGAACAAACATTCTTTTCTCCTCTCATCTACAGTGCTTCAGATTTTGCCTCCAACACTTCTCCTCTTTTAGTGTCCAGAACCTCATGTTTCATCTCCTCAACTCCAAGAATCATTTTACAACTGGATCTCAATCTCTAAGTCTTCAAAATATTTTTATACATTATTATGCAAAGACTGTTTTGGAACTACTTTTCCAGTAATTAAACACTATTTCCTTCTACTAGCACATGAACAGGGGGAAGAATATTGTAGCTGATATCAATTTCCCCAAAAGAGTATATTTGAACTGTTCGTATGAGAGCTAATTCCACACATTTTTTTTAATAAGGAGTGATCAAAGTAAAATTTAAGTGAAGAAAAAGCAACTCAACTTCAGAGAACTCTCATTTTTCTAATTTGCAATGTCTTATTTGTGTTAAAATGCTAGATTCAAGCTTCTGTTCGTCACATAGAAAAACACTGTACTTGATTAGCCACTTATTGCTGCTTGCCTCAAAAAGAAAGGATATGATTTTAATTTTGTTCTATACAACATAGGAATTCTTTTTAGGGTAATAACACATAGCCACGGTTAGGATATACGGGTAGTATGTAGCTATTACTATTTTCAAGTAGAGGCAGATCTTTCAAAAATTTCTCCAATGAGGAGAATCCTGAAAAATCTCAAAGTACAAGATGAGAAAGTCAATAGAAGATCTGGCATAGAACAAAAGAAACCCCATAATCCTCCAGTCTATTTTCCACCCGCATTTTAACGAATATGGAAATGGAAGGGATTCCTGGATACTTATTGACCCAATGCTCCCTAAATGAAACTTTCCATTGAGACCAGCTAACTGCAATGAACTTTGCCAGGAATGTTTTTGGATCTAAGATAGAATTTCTGCTCAAAACTTAAGACACAAACGCAGACCCATTTCACACATCCCAGACTATCGACTACTGCAGGATGGCTCTCTCCCAACCGCACCTGGAGTTCTCCTTTGTATAAAGTATATATTCGTTGGTCAAAGAAGAAACTGTCTGTGTAGGCTCAGTGATCAAGACCCTCACCTGGAAATCTTTTGACCCATGTTCATACCCCTCATCTCAGCTGCTGAGGGCCCTAACCAGTAGCTACTGACAATCCTAGGATGGATATTCTCAGATTTTGCAAAAATTAAATGATAAAGAAAAAGAAGAACAAAAAAGAAATTTCAAAGCTCCCATTATACAGACATTTCTGAAACTTCTAGAATATCCATGGGACAAGGAAAACCTTTTAGAACTTGGAGGAAAACAATGGTTACCAGAAAGACCTTTTGGACAGTGTTATTGAATGCTTAAGTATACTTTAATTCATCCACAAACAGGTCCTTTCAGTCTTTAGTTAAAGAGGGAAGATAAGTAATCCAATGATGAATTACCACACCTTATTAGAAACAGTCCAAGCAGCAGAGAAGCTGCTTCCTTTTTTAAGAGGTGTGTTTCACAACTACCTCAGATTGGCAGATCAGCTTCAGGACATAATGATGTTGTTATATACAGCTCAATCTACCCATTTCCCCAGAAATAATGGCATTCAACTTAGTTCTGATCTAATCAATATCAGGCACACCATGTTGCTATGAAAGTATTGAATTTGCACACATCACATGCAAATTAAAGTAGTCATTGCTACTGATGAAGTCATATTATACTCAAAAGAAACTGTTCTACTTATGGAGGGGGGGGAAGAGGGGGAGAAAAAGAAACCAAGTGTTATTTGGTATACCTAATCCAGTTCTTGCTCTCCAAAAAACACACTGCACTTTAAGTGGAGATTTATAACTCTCAAAATTCTTATGCCTTTATCTTTGAAGAAAGGAAACGTAAATTAGTTGCAAATAATACCTTTACTAAGAGTAGTGAAATAAGAAAAAGTACTGGACAAAAACATGATTGTAGTCTTTTCAACAAGTTTATTCATATAGAGTCCCTCAAACAAGATTCAGTAACAGTAAACAAAACTGTTAAGTGTCCAAGAATTAGTGATACAGCAAACTAAAGCACATTTCTTTTGATCATTTAAAAACCTGTATACAATTTCAAGAGAAGCAAACACTACAGCAAGAAGTAGACAGCACAGCAAAATTCTCCACAAGATAACAAATTGGCCCTCTTTTTTTCCTACCAACACATTACACTTAAGGGAATAAGTCAGCTCTCAGCTGGTGCCAAAAGTAAGATCATGGGCATGCTGAAAAGACAAGGAAGGGCTGGTCATATCAAGGCAACTATTGAGTAGTTTTGTTTTTGAAACGTATTTGCATTTGTAGGTTCCCAATATTACATTCTTCAATCTGAATGTGTAGATTCTCTTTGTTACAGACAAGTGGTTTTTTCCCCCAGAAAATAGTAATAGTGCAGCACTCGCCTTCATAGTCTCAGTGCACTTGAGGTTGAATTGCTTGCATTTGTGCAGATATGAAAGTGGAACTGCCACCCTAGTTAGATCTTTTTCTGACACCAAATTTTAAAGACTTACAATAAATTACTGGGTCCATTTGCTTGGTTTACAAATGCTGACAGTTTGTATGTCCTTCTGAGATTTCTTCTTGCTTTCTCAAGGCAGAGTGGTCAATCCCTAACTTTGTGCCTTCATTTGTCCTTTTTATGGGAAAAAAAAGAATCTTATACAGAAAAATAGTTGTGTAGTAGACAGGGAATGTTTCTTAAGCTGATGTATCTTCCTTCTCTTCAATAGTACCAGTATAGAATATAACACCTTCCAAGTCATGCCTCTCAGGATCAAAATACTTTTAATGTTACAAGAAACACTCAATTTCAGGCTATAATATAAATATTTCCAGACTCTGGAAAGCAAGTAAGGATGCAGTTCTCCTTCCTGACCCCATCATAAATACAAAGCAAAGATTAAACTTACAAATACAGTGAACTATGGCAGACTTAAAAAAATTGAAGCTTCAGCAGTTTGTTATACTACTTCAGTGCTTTACCTGTAGTAACTCCCTGCAGCTGTCAAGCCCAATATCCACAAGAATGCCTTTCACCTTTTTTCGAGCCTTCCTGATATTATCAAGATTTTGAACAGGAATTTGAAACATTTTGCACTTCTCCTGAAACAGAAAGACAAAAATAATGTGATCAAATGTTTCTACATACACATTCACATGCTGCTGTGTTTTAGCAATAATTTAA